CATATTCAAACAAATGGGCCAATTGAACCAGGCAGTGTGAGTGAACATCCAATCGGCAGCTGGGAGGCAATGGCGTTGCTTTGCATAAAGCAATATTTTGTGTGGGAGCGAGCCGAGCATTTGCATGCGTGGAGTGATTAGTGGGTTTGAAAAGCGAACCCTGGCTCAGCCTCATTTCCCGCTCTGGTTAAGGCGCGGGGAGGAAGTGTTTTGCTGGAAGATGATGACAGAGGTCAGCCTTTGCTAATGGGCCAGTGGAGGCGAGGCAGAGACTAGGCACACACGCACATTCATACCCTTGAACCATCACCAATCAGCCTAGGTGTGCTCTGGCTCTCTCCCTCTCCCCCACTCTCTCCGCCCCCCTTCCTCTCACATCCTCTTTCTTCTTCCCTCTCCAGTCAGTGTCAGCCCATTTTATTGTCAATCTCTGTCGCCTTCCCAGGAACTCAAGATCACACAACCAGCAGCGTCACTGGAGAAAAACTCTTTTACTGGCAATCCTTTTTAAGACACCATCATTTCAAATCACGGGCGCTTTTTAAAACTGTTGACAAGAGCTTTGACAACAAAACAGGATGCCTCAAAAAGGTGAGTCTACTCGCTTCTTCTCACTTCTTCCTTTCAATCCCCTTTAATATTTAGGCGGCTCGCTGCCTCCCACCTCCTATCTGCCTTTCTCTCTCACCCATTCTTCCTCTCTCTCACACACAGACATCCTCCCACCCTTTTCTTATCCCCACTTTTTATATTCCGGAGATGATCCTGGGAGATACATCAGTCTCAAAGCCCGTTTACTTCCTCCTCCTTACCTTCCCCGCCCCGAAAAGCATCTTGCCTGGTGAAGCAATGGCTGCAGCAGGGCCGCCAGACTCTCTTGCTGCCTTTCCTAGACAGAACCCTCCTCCGAAAGGCTAGCCTCTTTTGGCGAAGGGCGACAAGCTCGCTCGAGGCTGTAGAGACTCACTGAAAGTGCGTGGTGAATCTGACCGAATGCCACCAGGTTTTTACGTTGTTGTTCTGCTGTGACCGCCTGACGCTCATTCATAGGTTGCTTTCTGGAGCAACTGGATCGATCCGAATCTGAATGTTCCCTCCAGTGCTTTTCCCCGTTTTTCTTGCTTTGTATCCCAAAGATGTGGGCGTCTGTGTGTTTGGGTGAGGAAAGAGCCTCGTTTAGGGAATCCTCAGGGCTTTATTAATGTATCTTTTATTCCTGTGCCTGGTGATAAGCTAATGAAAAAAAAAAGGGGGGGGGAGCAGTTGCAGAGTCACCTTCTAGGCCAAGTCAGCTCTGAGTAGTTGCTGTGTCCGGGAAGGTCTGAGCGAGCTAAAGGACTGTCACTCTCAATCAGGCAGCCCCGAGATGTCCCCAAACTTATCCCCAACAGAAGAAAAGGAACCAGCAGAACTTTCTAACTTGACCATCACCCGTCTGGAAGTTCCAACTGTTTAAACAAAAACAAAGGAAAAGAGGAAACTGAACAAAAAGAAAGAGCAGAAAAGAATCGAGTCCCCTTTCCGCACCCCTTTCACTACTGACTGTCTGAAATCGGAAGTCTCCTAAATTTTGCGCTCCAAAGAACCTACGATCAAGTTTCGAAATTAAACAGAGTTTCTGCTTCTATTTCAAGTAAGCAAAGGAAACCCTTGAATTTTCAAATTAATATTTTCTCCTTGTATGCCTGGCTGGGTTCTTTCTTTCTCCCAGGCCCAGTGAAAATTCAGTGTACTGTTAGGATCATAGAAAAGTTTTCAGCCACCCAAGAACCGCCTCCTTCCGCAGTACTTTAAGGCTGTAGCTCCATGCCCACACAACATTTATAGGAACACATCCCATTAAAGTAAATGGCGCTTACTTTTGAGTGAACCTGCACACGAAAAGGCTGCCCATCGGGTCACTTAAAGAGTGAAGGAAGAACCAACTTCTCTCTGCGATTTCTTTAAGCTCTCTCAAGAGAACGAAAAGTCCACTGACCTGTGCTATAACTCCTTCAAGCCCGCGGCTTCAAAACAACAACAGCGGACCAACCACCAGCACCACCCACGGGAACAGAAGCGAAAAAAGTTTTCAGGTCGGTTCGAGTTCTTAAACCGTGAAGCTTTTAAGTGACGACTGCGGGCTGCGAGCCTTTGTAGGCCTAAAATATATAATTGGAGTCTTTGGCAATATTTTGCTTTAATAGCTGGTGACCTTTGCAACCGTCTCCACGCCAATGGATTAGCGTTTTATCTTTTGCTGATTTGTCACGGGATTGTAAACATTTATCATCTCAAGAGCTAATTATGCTTGCAACAGAGGGGAGACTCAGCATCCTAATTCGAACAGATTAGGTCCCGATTTGGAGATGGTTTTCAGGAAAAAAGGTGCAGATTAGGCCTAACCGGCGGGAAGGAAAAAAAGAAAAAGAAAATAGAGAGGAAAGCGAGAGCACGAGGACACCTGGACTGGTACCGGCTGCCGCGGCGTCTCTCCACGAATACAAATAACAGCGTGAGAAATTGGCTGCTTCGTGGCAAAGTAGGAACTGCTCCCCTATGGGGCTTCCGGGCGGGGGGAGGGAAGACGCTTCTTCCGCAGGCGCTGCCTGGCCTTGGCTAAGCACGGGCCTCCCTTTCCCCGGTCCCGAGGAGGGCAGCCGGAGAGCCCGGGGCCGGCGGGGTGTTCGCTGGGTAGCGCCGGGGAGAAGCCAAAGTTTCCACGCGGATGAAGGCAGCGGCTACTAGTTAGCAAAGCCTGGCCCCTGACCGTAATCGGCCGCGCCAGCAGCAGGCTCGCGGCTTTCCCCGGCGGCGAGCGTCGGTGTCCGGGCAGAGGCGTTCGGCAGCCGGAGATGCAGAGGATGGGGCTCCCTCCAGCTTCGCCTCCAGACGGGCCAGGCCGCTAATCAGGTGTCTCTCGGAAGAGGAGTCAATATTTACTCCTGGAAGCTCCTTCGGGCTGCGAGAAAGGCCCTGTGCGGCGCTGGTTCGCTTTCTTGTTTTTAATGGCTTCGGGAGAGCCATCCAAACCGGGCCCACTTTGGGCTCGGGTCGTCCGCCTTGGCCTCTTTTCTTCGCTGGAGAAAGAGTACAATTAATCTCTGTTAACAACCCAGAAATAAAAAGCCTTTCTTTTTTAAAAATAAAAAGCTTTCTAAATAAGTAAAGAGAAGGTGGGAGGAGATGAAGAAAATGAAGGCTAGCACTATTTCATTATTTTATCTCCTCTATCTCTCTCGGTTCTCCCCCCCCCCTCTTTTTTTTAAAAGCAAACCCCTCTTGAATAGCTTCTTTATTGTAATTGTCTCACCCCAATTGAGCACCCCACTGTGCTGTTGTATCTTTTTACAACCCCTAACAACTCGCACCAGTAACATAATTACCTCCAGATATTTATAACGAGAAATTACTTTTCTATTTTCCTCCTGCTAGGCTGGGAGCCTAAAAGAAAGAGCTGGGATTAAATGCATATACATCAAGAACCACAGAACTTTTTTTAAAAGGTTGCTTTAAGAAGGAAGGAAGGAAGGAAGGAAGGAAGGAAGGAAGGAAGGAAGGAAGGGTGGAATGAGAGGGAAAACCCACCAAAATCAGGCGTTGGGGCTGCCTAGATTCTGGGCCAAGGCAGGCCGTAGTGCTGGGAGGAAAGGACATTTCCTTGTTCTTTAGAGATGGAAGGGCTGTTGGTACCTTAAGGTGGAAGCTGCATTGCCCAAGCAGGAGGAGGCTAGCTGGCTCTTGTGCTCTAGGTTTGGGGAGGGGAATAAAATGGAAGCCATTGTTCGCCTTCCGTAGGCTTTGTGCTTGCAGTTCTCACCCCCTCCTGATCTTACTTTTTAAAGCACTGAGGCGAGGTAGACAGCGTGTGTCACAGTACAGTGAAAGGGGGGAAGATCTAAAGACCAAAAAGAAGTTAATCAGAATGAGTGGATTTCTCTCTTCTTTCCCTTCCCCAGCTAACTTGTCAGCTCTTTTCTCTCTCAGGGAAAAAGGGGGGGATGGGATTGTTAGCGCCACTTGAAAAAAAAAATCTCTGGTTTTCTCACCAAAAGTAATAACAAACAAACATGGATTTAAAGTAAAACTCAAAATGCCGCAGATGAGGGATTTGCACATAAACCGAAAAATATGTCTTCCTCCTTCTGCTTTCGTATTATTGCTGTTGTTCTTATCATTATATTTGCCAACAAACTGTTCACCATCTCTCTTCAGAGAAGCATTCCTTGACTCATAAAGTTCTGTTGGGCCTGGGTAAGAATACATTATGCTCACTTCTATAAAAGTCAATCAAAGTCAAGTTGTTGGAGGGTTTGTTGGTTTGTTTTTAAATGCAGACACAACTTTGCATTCTTGCAAGAGGCACTCCAATAATATGAAAGAATAGGGATACTCCTGAAAGTTTAGAACTTAAGGAAAGGTGGTGTGTTGAGTCTGCTTTTCTCCCCAATCCATGCTGCACTCAACTGCGCTATGATGGGGGGGGGGGGGGGGGGGTAAACTAAAAAGTCCTTACTTTTAATGCACTTTTCTTCTTTATCCTAGTGGGAAGACTTTAATCAGCACTACGCAGATGTGTGATTCCTTAAACTGCATGAGAGGAGAGTCCACTCATAAATCAGGCAAGTTTCAAGCACTTTTTTCTCCTCCTTCTCCTTCTCCTTCTCCTTCTCCTTCTCCTTCTCCTTCTCCTTCTCCTTCTCCTCCTGTGTTCCCCTATAGCACAATAATGCATACGAGTCCATATTTCTTTAGAGGTTAAAAGTGCCCGGCTTCTCTTCTCACATGGAGCTGATGTGCTGAGAGACCCCAGAGTTACTCTGAACATGATTGATCTTGCATGGTTGTATGAAAGATTCAGTGATTTGTTCTTAAAGACTTCAGAGTTGGGAAAGAACAAACAAACAATAAATAAATATTGGGCCCTAACTGAGAGGCCATAGAGTGAATGATTTCTTAGGCATAACAGTACTGGAACTGCCAACCCGCTTCGTTCCCCTGGTTAATACTGATTTTATCACTAACAGAGCCCTCTACCCGAGCCACGTGGGATCTTGCTCCATCAGTCCACCATGCAGAACAGTAAGTGGCTCTTCCTGTCTTTTGGGACAATGCCTGCTTGAGCATGTGTAGTTGAAAGGTGGTTTGGTTTGGCTTGGGTGGTAGGGTGGCTGGGAAGAGAGACAATTATTCATTTTGAAAATATTTTTCATCCTGGAAGAGGCTTCTTCTGGAAAAAGGAAGGGTAAAGCTGAAAGAGTTTGGATGAGTGGGGTTCTTTGGACTCTTCCACCAAGAGATGCGGCTTCCAGAACTTGGAGGAAGGACTGTGTGGAGATTCTCCTCCTTTGTCCTCAAGGACATTTTGGAGTCCGGGATCTGAGTCATCCTGATGTGGAGGGATGGAATTCCACACAGTTCAGGAGAACCTTCTTCCTTGTAACTGCACCTAGTGGAGGTAGGGCAAATGGATATACTTTTGTGGACTGACGACCCATTGATTGCAGACAGACCCACTCCAAAATTCAGCTGCTCACAGACTCCTTGGCAGTCCTTCAAATAAGCAAATTCTTTCTGAGAGTTGTGGGGGGACAGTGTGAGAAATGTGCTCTGCATGAGAAGGGGAGCCAACCTCTCCACCCAAGCGGATTTCTAGGAGTCTGATCCTTTCCTTTGGCCCTCAGTGCTATTGATTCCTACCCACTCACCCCACCTCTCTCTCCAACATTTTTCAGTGATGGGGATGATAGCCTCTCTGGCATGAAATAGTGGAGCACAGAGGCTTGTATAAATTCAGCATGTCTTAAAATTAGAAGAGGAAGGGAGGATCCCTGATTCACTGGATTATGGCAAAGCTCTCTGCTTGTTGGGGTGTAGTAAAAAGAGACTAACTAGTTGAAGTCCTCAGTCTGTCAGGGCAACTTTTATAATCTGAAAGGAAATCTCCTTAGCATCCAAGGTATTTGTGCAAGAAGGTGTGGGGCTAGGGTGGTGGAAGCTGCTAGATCAAGCCTGATCATTTTATCCAGGCTGGTAAAGCCAAAGGCTGGAAGAGACCCCAGTAACTTTATCATTTTGGTATGTTGTCAGAATAAACCCCAGCACCATCCAGAAAGTAAAGCTAACTAGAATCACCAAACCCAGTGTCCAGAGAACATCAGCGCCTGTTGCAGTTCCTTTGCTAGTGTCCTGGTGATGAATTTTATTTCAAAATCCAAGCGAGTTCTCCTTGGCATTAAGAATTCCTGAATCATGCATTTTTAAAAACGTCAGCTATCCCCTTTGGCGCTCAGGCACAGATGCATAATACAAATAGGAAGGGGACGTTGGCACGCTGCTAGACTGAAGGACAGGGCAGGGTGGGCGATCGCCACTGCAAGACTAAAAGCATTGCTTGAGAAAAGATGGGGCATCTGCATGTTATGGATGCTGTGGTTTGCTAAACCTATTTTAGGCATGGAATTGGATCTGGAAAGCCTCGAGGATTCCAAAGACAGCCTAAAGGGGCGTGGGGCTGAAGAGACACCGTCCCAGTCGCCCGCTTAAAGGGCTATTAGTGCCTTCCTTCCGGGACTCTCCGGAGCTCGGAAGGAAGGTCCCTCTTGGATCTGGGTGGAATCTCCTTCGAAGAGGATGAACGTTGCCTCTGCCTGAGGAACATCCTGGTCAGGCCCTTCCACACGCTGGAGGGAATCCCTAGTGACATCCACAGGAAGGGGAAGCCAGTTATGGGAAGGAGATGCCACGAGCCACGCGAATATTTGTTTCCCAAATCTGGCCACAATCCATCCCTACCCCACCCCCAGCCACATCGTGTTCTGGGAGATTGGGTGGTGCCCAGGTGCTTTTAACACGAGAATCAATAGTCAAGCCCCTGCTATTCTGAAAGCCGCTCCGGATTTCCGCAGGGACATGATTTTGCACGCAGCTCCGCACCTTGGCGAGGAACTCAGACCCAGATGGAGGACACTCTTTAAAATCGATTGCACTTTCTTGCGGATAAACATACTTAGCCTGTGATAATACAGCCGGGCTCCCGGCAGTTAGCGGTGCTAACCTCAAAGCGACTTTTTTATTTGGAGGTAGGCATGATTGGAGAGAAGAGCCGGATAGCCCACCAGGCTTGTGTTGGTAGGAAAGTTGCTCTCCCGGATGTTGATGGACTTGAAAAATGGTTCTTGTTGTGCAGCATGCAGGGAAGACGAGTGAGTCCTCAGGGTAGTCCTGAGATCAAGGTAGGCTTGATCAGTTAAGAGGGACAGTGCCCTGATTTTCCCATAAGTTATGTCGGTGAAATAATGTTGAGGTTTTTGCAAGCGATTCTTATTTTAAGCACACTGTGGTTATTTTAAGCTTACTGTAAACTCGCTCTCCTAGCCGGTTATTGTTATTCGGTTCAGCTTCTAAATCCTAAAGATACCTCGTTAGTATGCAAACTCCGTCGGAATTTCCTTGGAGAGAAGTGCAGTCGAGACTCGGTCGCGGAATCGGAGCTCAATTGCTTTGCTTCTCTCTCCTCTCTTTTTCGTTGGACTCGCTTGCTCTTGCACGTAACGCGGGTCTATTTACAGCTCCTTGGCTTTCGGAAGCTGGCTTGGAAGTAAGCCCCACTGAGCACAGCGGGGCTTTCTTCTAAGTAGTCCCGCGAAGGCTCCGCGCTCGGCAGTGCCGGCCCTTAGGCGGCTCCAGTTGAGCGCCACTCCCGACCAAGCCTGAGGCTCCATGCGTTTCGACCGGCGGCCTGGTTTCCCTTGGTCCCGGGGGTTTTGCGCCACTTTCTCCGAGCCCAAGACCCGCTTGGGTGTGTAGTTTCCCGACCGGGGAGAAGCACCCCCAATCATGGGATCTCTTGCTGTGCTAATACACCCCAAGGCCTGTTTGGGGACTGGAGCGTCCGAGGTCTGCTGGCGCTGAGTGTTATCTGCCGGGCTCCTTTCTAGAGTCCCTTCGTGGCTGGACGGGGGCCGCGCTCCGTTGGTGAAGGTTTCCTGCTCGAGGTTTGACTCGTCCCTTGGGAGCTTTCTGATAAGGCCGCCTTGGGTACGAGAGAATGGCACCCCATATGTGCCCGGGCCTTCTACGCAACACGAGCGTCTTTTGTGGGAGTCGCAAATGCCTTTGCACTAGCTTTCCCGCACGACCCCATTCCTCCATCCTATCCGCAGGAAAAAGAGCCCGCCGGGGTGATTTGGGTGAAGGTCGCGGCCGGTTTTCCCGGCTTTGTGTAGATAACTCCTGAGTGTCTGCAGCGCCGCGCATCCAAATTGACACCATATGTTTTCCTCATAGAAGGCTCGCCCGAGAAGACGAGGCGCATAATCATTGCCACCGGGCTCGAACTGCCTGCGTACTCCTGGGAAATTAAGGCATTGATTAAGGCTTAACCTTTTTTGCACGGAATTTGGGAGTTGGGCTGCCTTCCTCGTGGCGCGGAGGCGAACTAGGAAAGGCCTCTCCGGAATGCGGGCAAATGGCCTCCATCGGCTTCTGTGTGTGCGAGGGCGTGTGGGAGAGTGGGGTGTGGAGGCTTAGGAACAGTGGAAGAAGAGCTCTCGTCTCTTGTGTGCATCCCGCAGGCCCAAGAGCTTCGAGCATCCAGCGGCACCTGGAAGCCCCCTTTACTCTCCGCGGAGCAGAAGGGGGCACCTGCTGCTGCTGCTGCTGCTGCTGCTGAGAACTCAGCTGCGGACTTAAGACTGCTGCCCTGAGACCGGGTCTGGCCTCAGGCCTCCCTAGGGGGACAACCCAGATTTCCCTGCAGTCCAGGCCAATGGGGAGAGGAGAAAGGGAGGGTCTGGGTGCGGGTGTGAGCGTAAAGCCTGGCTCTCTAGGAAGCAGGCACTTGGTGGGAGGGGGGTAGAGGGGGAGAAAAGCGGGCATCGGATCCCTCCCCCTCTGCAAGCTGCCTTTCTTGCGGTCCTTCCCGGCCAATAACTCCGTCCCAGAAGCAAAGAGAGCCGCTGTTTCCCGTTAGAGGTTTTGCGGCCATGCTGGCTGGTCGGTTCTCAACTGGCCTTTACATGAAGACTCACTTTCCCCTCCTCCCAGCCGGCACCCCCTCCTCTTCTCCTCTCCCCACTGCTCTCTGCAACTCTTGTCACTTCGGATTTATCGCGGAGGCAGCGCGCCCCTTCGGTGGTGTCCAGATTGACCCCGTGGCTACCTTAAAAAGTCGCTTCTCCTCGAAGGGAAAGCGAGGCGAGTTCACTCTCGTCGGAGTGATACCCAAATCCGGACAGAAAGGGTCGTTTTTATCCTGCTCCCGTTTGTCGTGACGATGCAATATCCAAGAGCAGAGCACTGTCACAAAGTGACAGGTCTGCTACAAGTGCTCCAACTGATCTTTTCAATTAGCCTTCCATGCATGATCCGGGGCGACTTCCGCCTATTTCCAGAAATTAAGCTCAAACTTGACGTGCAGCTAGGTTTATTTTAAAGACAAATGTCAGAGAGACTCATCATATTTTCCTGCTCTTCTATATTTGGAGCTTATTTATTGCTAAGAAGCCGAGGCTCCTGGAGTCAATTTAGCAGAAGGCTCCAAAGAGAGAAGGCGAGCAGAACAGAGGCAGAGAGAGAAAGAGGGGAAGAGAGAGAGGGGCCAGACCTTCTCCAAGGAGCCTTTTGCCTCCAAGCCTAAAGCTGCAGGTTGGGGATCCTTTTCGAACCCCCTTTTGGGAGTCTTGCGTTTGGCCGGGGGAGCTGTGGCTGGGAGGATGCAGACCAACCCGATGTTTTTCTTTAATAACCCGAGTGTCCCTTCTCCTCCCCCTCCTTTACTCCCAACGCGTGGGGGGATGGGGGAGAGGCGACTTTCTCGGGGATGGCATCATTTGGGAGAGGGGGAGAACCGAGCTGACTGGGCTTCTTCTCTGGCTTTGCGGAGCCTGGCAGTGTGGGGGGAGGGGAGGGGAGG